CCCCCCCCCCCCCCCCCCTTCATTTTCCAAGTGTTTTCTGATGCTTCCTTCCAAGTAATACGCAATGTGATCTAATTCTGCTAAACTCTTTGGAATGCTTCCTTCGGCTTTCTGATTCCCTCCGCATTGAAGAATGCTATCCAGTTTCTCTGAAGGGCTGGATTTGAATGGATTACCTTACAATTAATGTGTCCCCTTTAAAACCAGCAGGCCAGCATGCTGTGTGCTGTGCTCCGAGACACTGAACTTGGAGGAAAGAGTTTTAGGGTTGTTGGGGTTTTTTTTGGCTGATTCTCCTTTTTCTAACTGCTTACGTAAAATCAAGCGTATCTTCTCTATAGAATTGCATTGCAACTTCAGAAGAGTGTGTATGTGTGTGTGCCTGTCTGTTAAATGAATTATTTCCTTTGACATGTCCTAGCACCGCTTGCTTTTTACACTAAAAGCAAAACATTTATTATATCTTCTGTAGATTGCTCAAATGTTAGGTAGTGGGGGGTTTTTCCTCACTGCTTTATGCTGCTTACTTTTGTATAGAATCATAGTAGTATATGTAAATATAAAAATCAAGGAAATTAAAATATTCCCTTCAAAACACAATCTGTATTTGTAACTTTAAAGGACACTGAATTGTATGATCGGACAGATGAAGCACATCTTGGCTGCAGAGCAAAAGAAGACAGATTTTAAACCAGAAGATGAAAACAATGTTTTGATTCAATATACTAATGTAAGTAAACTAAGTCCCAGCTCATCAGTATAGCTTCAAATGCTCATGAGTGTTATCAGGGACAAGATATTCCTTACCAACATGCATTAGACAACATGTGCATTGGATTAATTTACTTAGCTATGCCATTTTGCACTAAGCACCTCCAAACTCAGTTGTGGACTATTTTCTCAAGCTGAAAAGGTATGTTAGCAGTTTTCTGTCTAGTGTCAGACACAAATCAGTAGGTGCTGGACGAACTGTCACATTCTTTCCCCTCCCAAGAGGCCCAGATTTGGAACAAGGTTTTTAGCTGATAATTAGCTTTAAGCTATCGGTTTCAGAAAATCAACTATCAGGTGCTCTCTAGTTGCTGGGTGCTTTTTCCCCTTAGAATGGCAGGAGCATGACAGAGCAGCAGGGGTATGGCATGAACATTTTCTGCTGCAGAACGTTGTCTCTACTGCCGAATCTGTCTGAATCCCAGCCTGCAGGCTGCTGAGAAGCTGTAGTGCTGGGTTACGTTAGGCTCTTGTTAGGGAACAATGCAAAGAGGAGTAGAGAACAAATTACAGTCAATGGGAGGAAGTGAGAGCGTTGCCTGAATACCTGCAGCCAGGTGGGAATGGGAGAAGTGGAGCAGTAGGATGTAGAGTCTGGTACTATGTGGGAAGGGTGAAGATGCCTGCATGGCTGTTAATTTCGGTTTATAATTGCAGCTGACAAGAGGTTTTTAATCACTTCC